CCCTCAGTAAAATGTAAGCACTGTAAACACACTGGCTTTTTCTGTTCTGTTGACTCCTATATTCCCAGAGCTCAGATCCATACCTTGTACCCAAGAGGTACTAAGTAAATATTTGTTGATTAAATTTATGAAGCATTTCTCAGTTATTATTTCTTATACTATTAATTCTATAATTTCTTATAATTATTTCTTATAACTTGTTATAGTGCTTTCTATTATTAGGTGCTAAGTTCAAATTTAGTACTCTACCTTTGCTTTTATGTTTAAAAAAGATCTTTCTCACTTTTATTCTGTGCTTTTCTTCCAGTTCTTACGATTTAATTTTAATTTTTACTCATTAATCTGAGTAGAATTAATTTTTTTTATGGTATGAGGATAAATAACTTCATATTTACCTCCTACTTAGTGTATGTTTATTAAATACCCTGTACTTGTTTAAAATATCACTTTTAGCACATACTAAGTATATGCACACATAGAATATTTTCATAAACTCCTCATATTGTTTTTACTTTAAATTTTAATACATTTTGATTTAAACATTCTAGGCATTTCTACAGAACTGCACTCTCTTTTTGTATTGATAGAACTTGATTCTGCCAGCCATAGGGCAGGCATGGTTATTACAGGATCTGAAATTAAATGAAACCAATGTGTTTGGTCATGTAATGTTGCTGTCTCAAACAATGTGTTTTTGAATGTCATCAATAACTTGTTTCTATTATGTCTAAAACTCACAAGAAATGTATGAATATTGTAAGGAAGGGAGAAAGAAAGAGAAAACAAATCAGATTACAGAAAAATTTCTAGTCACTTGATTTTATCTAAAATATTCTATAATATTTTGACAAGATCTTACAGTTGCTTTCTTTCTGCCTTTTGACTGGCTAAATCACGGAATTGTATTAGAATTCCCACCTAATGGGTTCAAGGCCTATGTATCACACCCTCACCTTACAGTGCCCCCGTGCCCATTCACATATGTACTCATTCATTCTCAGAAACATCTGTATTTCATAATACAAGTGGAGACCAGGCCTTTGCCCTGAGGGTTTACTATCTAGCAATGAAATCCATGTATTTAGCTTTCTAACCAAAATAATGCTTTCTCATTCAAGAGATGCACTTGTGCATCTGTTATTTATTTGGTATGCTTTCTCCCTCTCTATTACTCACTTCACAGTTTTGGTTTAGCAAATATATTGGGTGAAATGAGGAAAATTATGTAGACCAAAACAGTAGGAAGTGCTAAATTGTCATCAAATAGCCAAGTTCTGAGTTTACAAGTGAAAGGTATAGTCTGATACTCCAGCCACTTTGGGCTGGATCATACTAAGACTGCCATAATTTTGTTTCTAATAGACACATTTCTTTGATCTATGTGGAATCAAAATAATTTATACCACCAGAATTCAAATAAAATTCACAATATTTGAAAACTATTGACCATGCCTGTGTGTTAATCTGTGGTTTAAAAGTTATATAAAATGTGATATTTTAATATAAATCACAGCTCTCAGGCAAGCACTCATTTTTAAAAAGGATGAGCTACCAGAAAAAAGACTAGGTACTAAAATTCTATATTCTGTCCCAACTGCTTTTTAAACTATCCATTGCTTGGAATATGTGTAAAGTCACCTACTAAAAATTGTGTCACTCTCAATGCCGAAGTTACGTGGAGTGAGCAGGTAAAGTAATCATTCCCAATTTTTTATTCTATAATTCACACACATACCCCCCAAAACCCCGAAACAAGAACCACAACAAATTCACCTTTTCATGGTAGAATGTATTCTAGGTCATTGTCATGTAGCTTTAGGTTCACAACTTGATAAACCTAAATTTTCAGATAATGAAGGGAGATACTTGGAAGAACAGAAGGGAAGAAGGAGAAAAGAGATTCCAAAAAAAAAAAAAAAAATTCCTTGACAAGATGAACTTATGAAGGACAAACGACTCAGCGACATCTTTACACTGAAAAATAGTTTTTGGTCCTAACCTTTTGCCTTCTTGCATTTCTCTACCTGTGCCCTAAACTATTGCTTTTCAGATTGACTCTTCTATTTCCTCTTCCAGCCTTCCTTCCTTCTCTCCCTCTACCTCAGTAATGGATGAAACCTACCTTCAGTGACTCATGCTGGATGCCCAGTCTTGGTCAAAGCCAAGCTTCTACAGCTTCACTGATCTCGGTTTTCCTCTTGGACAGAATGATTTTCCATCCTAACTCTCTTCCTAACTATCCTCATCCTAAGGCTATGACCAAACAGATGGCACTATAGACTTGGGAGCTCAACCGGAACATGCTGTGACGATAAACCCAATGCATTTATCCGCAATATCCTGTGAGAATCCAGCAACCAGATTCACTCCATGTACCTCACTGCTTTAGAGTGGATCATCATCTTAGATCCTTTTAATTATGTTTTGTGTTTTTTAGCTAAAGTTAAGGTATGTGTAAAATGGCAAAGCAATAGTTTTAAAATTAATAATTCATTTTCATCCCTCTAACTTGTGGAAAACACAGCAAGGGGGGTTCTGAGGCTGAGGGTAGAGGTGCTGAGAAGCACAGCTCCTGTCTCAAGTGGACAGCCATCCCAGACTAGGTATGTGTACGTGCAGGGAGCCAGTAATTTATAGGACATTTTAATATTCTTAAAGAACAGTTAAATGACTAAATCCCTAAACATACAGAATTTTTCCCCCTTTCTTTGCCTAGGAATCTGTTTTGGAAACCAATTCAATGATTACTACTAGGACATGGAATTTTGATATCCATTTGGTACCGATTTACACCAGTATTTTGAAGCTGCCAACAAGAAAGTCCAGAATTTCAGGCAGCCAAAATTCCGCAAGAGACAACTGTCTTTTATTTTATAGCTTATGAATTTGGGGCTTAATATGATTTTCCACTAACAAGTTCTGTACCCCCTCCAGAGTGCTAAAGCCGGTGTGTAGATCAGCAAAGTAACACAGAACATATGAGGCAAGTTAATATTAAACTTGAAGGAAAACTATACAAATTAAATTGTTTACTCAGGAAAAAAGCACTCTAGTTGAAAGGGCCGACATAGGATTGATTGCAAACACTTAGCCAGTGTGTTCACATTTTCAGTTTTAACTCCACTAGCAGCACTGTTTGGTGGTGGTGAGGCATTGGATACAGTATAATAAAGTCATCAATTAAAAATCCACCAGATATTAGTAAGGAAGAGCTCTAAATACCTCATGTCTTCTGTTTTTATTAAATGTCTAGAAAAATGCAGAATTGTGTCTAGAGTGGGTAACAAATCACAGGCCAGTAACTCAGGGAAGAATTAGATGGATGTCTCTTTTTTAAACATAAGTAAAATGAAGAACTTGTTTAATTAAAAACAACAAAATGTTTTTGGTTCCTAGTAATAAATCTCTTGCAAAACAAGACTTCCATATATAATTAGGAAAAAAAAATTAGTACAGGTTTTCTTTTGTATGCTCAAAGTAATTTTTTGAAGGAAGTCAAAGAGAACAAATATTGGAACACTGAAATGATTAATTTCTTTAGAAAAACCATGAAATCTTCTTCCCTGTATGCCATGAAGAAAAGGAGAGACATGCATCCATCTTTTAATATTTAAGTGTTCCATGACTAAATGACTTTCCCTAGAATTCTAGGCTCGTCCAAAAGCCTTCATGTTTCATATAATTTCTGATGTGGTTTTATATGCTTGTTCCCACTCTAAGAATCAGCAGATATATAATTAATAAAATCAGCATAGGAAGCCTTAGAATTATTTATCTACAAAACCAGATATCAAACATGGCATCTTGCAATGTTTTCTAGTTAAGAGAAATTAGGTACCTCACATAATTTTATAGATGAGGCCTATTGAAAAAAATAAAGGAAATATTTCTACAGCAGAAGCTCACACTAACTAAAGAAAACCATATTAGATGCCTTCTAGACTTGACATTAGAATCCTAAACTCTTATCCCAAAGCAAGGCCATGTTGCCTACCCTGGATGACTTCTGGACCATCAGCAGCATCATGCCCTCTGCTTTTCCGGAAGGGATAAGAATCTTTGATGGATTCTCAGGCTCACCAGAGAGAAGGATATAGCATTAAATGTAAGCACTACACAACACCACTATATGCCTGAAACAGTAGCGGGACAAAACAATTATTTGAACCATGTTGTCAAATTGCTCCATCTAATGACAGTCAAAACTAAAGGTGAGTATGAAGAGATGGAAGAGAGACGTCTGACATCCATTCTTAACTTTTATAGTAGAAATATTTATATAAAAAATCTTCAATTAAAAATATAGTGCTAAATTACTCTATGGAATTTATTATTAGCTAATAACATAATTTTATCTAGGCAAACTTTTAAAAGTGAGGTTGAATGGATATATTATTTCACACCCAAAGTTACTGTATCTAGAAGAAAATAAAATGAAGAATATCTACAAATTAATCTTTAAAATTTAATTTCTATACCTGTACCATGTTATAAGACAGAGCATTGAAAAAAAAAAATCATCATTCTCTTTGTAAAGAAGGCCAAGCAAATATGTCTTGGGTGGCAGTCAACCATATACTTATTGCTTCTAACAATCCTGGCCCTCTATCAAGACCATGCATTTCTGGTTCACTTAATCAGGAATAATTTTCTTATTTGGCACAGTTATGACAATTTCATTCTTAATTTCTCATTAGATGTCCAAAAGACACCATATTAAAATTCAAATTATGGCAAAACTCCCTAAATGAGGTTGGGGAAAGGAGAGAAATACAACTCTAAACATACTAGATCTACAGAAAATGACTTCATTTTAACATTTAAATTTATCGTTCCCCATTTCCCCTCTCCATTATTTTCTGTCCTACATTCATTCCTTATTCAGTCTTAACTAATCTATTTTAAGTATAGCAGTGTAATCAGCAGTAATGTGACCGGACTGCACTATACTTATTTTCCATTTATTTTCATAGAAACATTTTGGCAGTCAGTCTAGCTCATGGTGTTCTTTGGAGATTTAATCATACAGAAAACCAGGTACGACAGAATATACACTACTTTTATATACAAACTTGAGTCCTGAGAGCAAAACAGAAAGGTTAAAAGAGGGGGGTAACTTCTCATTAAGGCTGGAAGAAATTTGAGAAACTTAAATGAGGAGATTCTGCAAACCCTGACTGCATTTTAACCAATCTTGAAGAGCTAGCTTAAGAATGTCTTGTTCAACCGATCATGACCGATGGTGACATCACAATCAGGTTATATTTGAACTTCATCTTCTGCTTTAAGTTCACGGCATGTACCACTCAGATGTGTTCCCGATGATTCCCCACGTGACGACCGTGGGGTCACAGCAGGGGTCTTTGCAGTCAGCAGGAAAAGAGATGGAGAAAAGCTGGGAGTCATGGCTTCATGCAGAGAACTGAGATGGTAGGGAAGGGGGGAGTGTGGGTATTTGTGGAGTACTTGCCCCGGGGTTCTGGCTGGCATTCTTGGTGGAACTGCTTTAAGCCCGGGCTGGGCTACTGCGGTAATCAAAGGTGGTGGGAAAACCAAAGACTTCTCTTTAGGAATGCCAGACGTCTGTAAATGTTGGTCCTTTAGTTTTGCAATATCGTTAAATACCGAGGCGAGAGGTTGGAACTTGGGTTCCCAACTGAGGAGATAATCCCAGTGGTAGTTGCCTCTCACATCGTGATTAGAGGTTCTCTGGGGGGAAAGAGCCACGCACCTTGCTTCCTGATCCCCTGAAATAAAGACAGACTCTCTCCTGACATCAGCCTGGATGCTCTCTTTTACCTCTCTCTTCGTTAGTGTCTGGGGTAACACATTATTTTGAACATAGGTTGTGCCACAGCCTTCTCGATCTTCTTCCCCAAATGCATGGCTGGTTTCTGCTGTTTCAGCAGTGACCACCACATCGGTTTCTCCAGACAAGCAGGAGAGCTGGTCCGAGTCCCTTGGGATTCCAGAGTCTGGGACCCTGGACTCCCGGTCACTCAGAGCTGAGCCAGCGTCCTTTCTGTAAGGATGCTCGTTTATCCTCTGGATTTCCTTATCTTCTGCAGTTTCTCCTTCCACAGAGCAGTGGCCACTGGAGTTTGAGTGCCTGTACAAATTCACAATGTCCTTCTCCATGAGACTTATTAAGCTCAACCACTCAGGCAGGGAGTCCGCGGGCACCACCGCGTTATTGTCCTCATTAGTCTTCTGGAAGGGCTCGAGCATGCTGCCCTCTGTGGTCAGTCTCAAACTGATATCTAAGGTGGACGATGTTTTCTTGTCTTCGTAATTGTTGGCTGCGTCTTTTTGTTTATGTCTTAAAATCAGTACAATTAGAATGAAGATGAGTGTCAGAAACACTAAAAAGGAGACCGTGAGGCTGATTGAAAAGCCGCTGCCAGATACTCCTGAGTATTGTCCTTCTGAGAAAGAAGACACGTTCACAAAAACAGTGCAGAATGTAAACTTGGAGTCCAGTTTGGGGCTACGAGCGATGATTTTCATTTCAATGGTGTCTTGTTCACGGAACTGACTTCTTATTAGGGGAGGTGCTCTAGTCAAATAGATGTTTCCGTTCGTTTTATTCACTAAAAAGAAAGGAGATGGAACGTCCAAAGAGTACAGAACAACTCCATCAATACCCGCATCTGCATCTGACGCTTCCACTCTGCCGATCAGCTGTCTCACTTTATTCTTCTCTGGAAGGTTGAAAAAATACTCCTCTTGAGTAAACATGGGTTCAAACTCATCTATCCCTTCAATATCCAGCCAAACCGTTAAAGTGGCTGTTGAGTCACCTTTGTCTTTTGCCTGCACTGTGAGGCAGTATTTATTGTCATTTTCATAGTCAAGGACTTGCTGAGTGTGAATATCCCCTGTTAAAGGGTCAATGAGGAAGGGGTCATGATCACGAGGCATCCCGTGAGTGACCGAACAGGGCGACAACACAGAATAGGTCAGTTCTCCATAAGGACCTGCGTCAAAATCCAGAGCATTTACGGAACATATGGTGGAGAAAACAGGCACATTTTCAGGAACAACACAATTTAAGCTCGAGAACATAAACTGAGGTGCATGGTCATTATCATCCAGGACACTGATAAGCACAACTGCAAACGAAAAATGCTTCTTTTCTTCATCTGAAGCTTGAACGGTTAAAGTGAATTTTGTCGTTTCTTCATAATCCAGAAGTTTAATCAAATAAAGAACTCCAGTTTTTTCTTCCAAGTGAAAATGCCCCTCTTCATTTCCAGAGATGATGTGGTAGATGATTTCTGCATGTGAACCCACATCACGGTCATGTGCAGAGACCACAGTGATGTGACTCCCCAGAGGGGTACTTTCCTTGACGTGGGCGTGATATTTCAGACTGTTGAATTTAGGAGGATTATCATTGACATCCAGTACTTCTATTGCTACAGTGGCTGTGGAGCTCAATGGAGGGAAGCCGTGGTCAGATGCCAGAATGACAAGCTTATGACCGTTAGCTGCCTCTCTATCCAGACTGTGAAGCAACACCAGGTAACCAACTTGCTTATAAGGATATTCTGAATGAATGAAACTAGTTTCCACATGGAAATTGTTCTGTGAATTACCACTGATGATGGAATAATCAACATGTGTGTTTTCACGGGTCCAGTCATGGTCAATGGTTGAAAATGTGACAAGCGTGCCTCCAATTTGAGCATCTTCCCTCAAGCTGAGATTATAATATTCTACCGCAAACTCAGGAGCATAATTGTTCATATCTTGTATTTCTATCTCTACTAAGGTGAGAGCCCTCAGGTCAGGAATTCCACCATCACTGGCTTCAACAAGAAACTGAACTGTTGATTTTTTGTCCAGCAGTAATACAGGATTGATAGTAAATATTGTGCCTGAAAAACAAGACATAGCATTTTAATGCTGTGAAATTAAATTTTCAGGATCCAGTTGTCAGCAAACATTTACCAAATATTTACTAATAGGTTTAGTTATTTGCTAGATTTGTTATTTAAGTTACAACCAAGAGTAAATCCAAATAGAAATTTCAAATTTTTTATATTTATGCTTTTGTAACACTTAAGATCCAGAAGTAATACTCCTGGCATTCACTCTAGTAAATATATGAACCACTTGAAGATGGCTTTGCCAAAGTGTCTCTTAACTTTATTTTTGTATAATAAGCTGCCCCATTATCTTTTTTTTTAAGAAAATGTATTTTTATTTGAAAAATCTGTATCCCATTCTACTATCCATAGACACATGTATAGAGACATTCTAGTATAAAGATATTGATTCTGGAAATACTGGTTGACATTCACTCTAGTCAAATGAAGGTAGTATACATAATAATGCCGAGTTACAACTATTGATAATTTATGGAGGTGTTTTTCCTAAAGCTCTTCATTAATTCAGCACGTGGATTTCCCTTAAATGAAATACATTTAATACATTTTATTATTTTTAATATAGAAATATGTAATTAGAGTCTCACCATGAACTAAATTGATCTGATAGCATTTAATGTTTTTTAAAGATTTATTTTCAGAGAGAGAGGGAGAAAGGGAGGGGGGAGGGGCAGAAGGGGAGAGAATCTCAAGCAGACTCCACACTGAGCAGAGAGCCCAATGTGGGCTCGATCTCACGACCCTGAGACTGTGACCTGAGCTGAAATCAAGAGTTGGACTCTTAACTGACTGCACCATCCAGGTACCCCTATTTAATGTCTTAAAAACATTCTAATCAATATCTCATTGCAAAGCTCGTTGATAACGCATGTCAAGCAAAGTGTTGCTAGGATTAAGTGCTCAGAGGGACCACCTCACACACTGTGATGTGCTGTGGCCAGGATAGCAGTTGATATCATCTGAGCACTGTGCATCTCCAACCCCCAGTCCCCCCCAGAGAGCCAAATTTCTGACATGTTTATATCCATACAGTAGCATTCACCCACAGGCTGTGTGGCAACATGACCTACTTCTCCCTTTTGTAACACACCATGGGCCTCATACCAGTATTTTGTGATTAAATTCTTCCTTGGGGCAATCCTGAGGTTAATTTTTTTTTATTATTATTGAGATATAATTAGTATATAACATTGTGTTGGTTTCAGGTGTACAATCTAATGATTTGATATCTGTATATATTGCAAAGTGATCCCCACAGTAAGTCTACTTACCATCTGTCATCCTGAGGTTCATTTTTAAATCAGCTCTCACTAATGAAATAATGCAATGGCATGTAGAAATGGGGAACACATGGTGTAACATGTCCCAGGCCCTGTTCTTTTGCAGAGTGTGCTCTGCTAGGGACAGTGCTTTGCTAATCATAATATCATATCAAATTTAACTTTTACTATCTATGCATTGTTATGCTTTCTCTATACAATTCTTAACTGTTTTAATCTGAAATCACTTGCCTGAATGCATTTCATGACCACAAATGACTTGCTGTCTGATAAAAATATAAAGAGCTTTGGAAGGCATCAAATAAACTGTAATACCACAATGATTGTTCTCAGTAGAGATGCTCGAATAATTTTCCTTGTTCAGTTTTTTGTCCTTATTGAATGTATTATGCTATTACTGAACTTAATGTACTTGGCGTGGAAAAAAAGCTTCCACACTCTCATAACACGAAGTCCTCAGTACTAAATGGATCCCTTCGCTTTCATTTTAATGCTTGTTGAGGCCTGGGATAATTACTTAAATTGTCCTTGGTTGGACTGATGAGCTGGGTGTTTACTACATTGGGGTCTCTGAAGTTCTGCACATTTGCCAGCATGTAATTAATTCCTTTTGCTTTCCAGCCATTGAGATGTTGGAGAAGAGAAATAACACCAGGATTTGCTACCACAACATTTGATGTGAAGAGAAATAAGAAGGGTGGCATCTATAATACCAGGGCGGTGAGGTGGAAACATTTTAGGAGCATTTGGAAAAGATTATTTCAGGCTTCTACACTGTAACTCAAACCTATGAACGCTAAAGCCACAATAAATAACTCACCATTCATTGGATCGATTGCAAATTCCTTAGAAGAGGAAAGGATTCTGTAAGAAATGTTCTCATTGCTTTCTAGGTCCGTGGCTGCCACGGTCAGCACTGAGTACCCCACAGGCACCGATTCAGGAACAGTGACCTGAAGGAAAAAGAGAGAAATGAGCCTTGTACTTACAGGCTGGAGATATTTTCATGAACAGGGCCAGAAAGTAAAATCATTGCATCCATTTTGCTTATGGAAAACACACATAGTAATCTATAGAGTTAATATATTAAGAACATTATTTTGTAGTCCCAGAATTCAGAAAAACAAAATTTAAATATTTCATTTAGTTTTGATAGCTTCTTATGAAAAAAAGAAGTCCTTCTAAATTATTTCTGCTTGGTAGAGGATAGTTAATAAAACCACTACTGTATATTACATACAGAAGATCATTATTTAGGTTAGCTTCCCTTCTGTGTTTATGTTTAAACCATGCATTTGCTACATTCAGAAGTCCTGAAGCCCATTTCCAAGTGCTTAGTTGAATGCTATTATTGTCCTTACTTCTATAAACATACACTAAGCTCTAAAAAAATAAAATTTCCACTTCAGTTTTGTTCATGACTTGTTTCTGCAAAATGGTCATCAGTGTATTCCAAAAATATCCCTAGGAAAGAAAGAGTTTTCCCAAATTAAGTGCCGATAATCCAAACCACCGTATTGTTTGGTACCTCTGCAAATACTAGGCCCGTTCTGATTGTTATGAACAACCGGACTCCAATCCCTACAGACTAAAAAAAGAAAAAAATGATGCTATACATCCATAAGAAACTGAGTTGGATGAGCTCCTTAATTCCGTGTGTACATACCATAGCTTCCAGGATATTGAATATACAACCCTCAGGATCAACTAAGGCACTAAAACCTGTGGATACTGTCTGCCTAAATCAGTTTGTCAACACTGGTAAGCTTACATCATTCCCTTTTCTTTTCCACTTTGGCTCTGTTTTCAGCATCTCCTTACATTATTTACCTGGTAAGAATCTTGAGAAAATACAGGTGGGTTATCATTGACATCCACCACACGGACAATGAGCGTTCCCTCTGTTTCATGCACAGTGTCCGAAATTTGGATGAACAGCTCATATTCGGTAGCTTCTTCAAAATCCAGTGTTTTCACGAGCACCACTGCTCCAGTATTCTGATCAATAGCAAACTTGATTCCAGGATTACTCTCTTTGGCGAAATTGAAGATGAAAGCTGGATTCAAATCCACATCATGAACTGATATCTGAGTCACAACTATACCAGGCGAAGAATCTGCAATAGTCATGACCAATGTCAGCCTCCATTAAAATTCATCCTTTGAAATACTTTTCTTTGATAGTTCAATCCAAACATTTTAACTTTAAGTCCAACATGATTTGCTGTTTCTTGGCATGATTTCCCATACAAAGCTCATTACGAGCCGAACAAAAACTCTGAAGAATTTATGAGCCCAATAAAGTGAAAATTTACCGCTGAGTAGGGAATTGAGGAGGTAGAGTAAATTCGATTTTTATATGGCATTTTTTTATCATATGCGTGCAACACAATTCCGGGACCAAGAAACATTCTCAGCCACATATTTGTCTTACGTAGTTTCTGTATTAAAATCATATATTCATGGGTGATATGGGTGGGAAGAAAGTTCTTACTCAAAACAGTAATACAAAGCATACGATTTTGAAACATAAGCAAAATTTAAATGACACTGCATCTGTTCTTTAGTCTAAACTTCATAAAAGGGACCTCGTTTTTAAGCTTACAAGTACGGTACAGGTAGAAAGAAGATGCCAAGATACTCAGAATAGTTCCCCTATATATGAGACTCATGTAATTTTCATATTTCAGGCTTGAACATTCTGGGTGTGCATCAACCACTCCTTACCCTATTCAGTATATGCTTTGATTTTTGCCATTTGTTCTGGTGACTTGTTTATCATGGGCACATTGCTGCATTTTGATGCTAATGAACATGCTTAAGAATAGTACCTTCAGTAAAAACAAATGGAAGTATATCAAATAGGTGAGAGGCAGAACTGGAGAATTTTTTCTTTGTAGAATATTTTAGAGTGTTTGTAGGTATCCCTATACATCTACAAATATATCCCTCTGTGAGTGGTAATTTGTTTGGAAACTGAACATCCTAAAATGTTAGTAACATCTTAGGAGTCAGGTGGATACTAAGAGTGAAAGGAGAGAGGCAAGAGAGGGGCCAGCACTTTTTGCAATTTCAATGATAGAGTTGGGTTGGATTTACCAGTCCAAACTTTGAGATTGCAGACTATGGAGTCATAGAACCCAGGGACCCAAACAATTGGGATTAATTAGCATATCATGTAAAATTTTGTATTTTCTACCTCTACCATTATTGTGGGTAAAATTTTTCTTGCAGTGCTGCGGTGAGTTTGCACTAAAGGAAAGTGATGACTCTGTGCAATGAGCATCCCATCACTTATCACTTGCCATTCGTATACAGCAAAGCCTAACAAAATTTCAGTCTAAGGACATTGCTTCTTCTCAGAGGAGCTCTAGAATGACCATCATAGTCAACAAAGTGTGCTTCTTCATGGAGTAGATTTTGGTTTTGAGAAATATGGACACACACAAAAGCAGCTCTGTGTTCAATGGCAGGTTGAGCCTGGGGACTTAAAGGCAAATCCCAGCCTCAACATCTAACGTCTTTGACATTTGATATTTAACTTCGGGCCATCCATTTTCTATTCTGTAAAATGAAGACAGAAGCTGTCCACGTTGCACGGTTCCTGAGGATTAGCATTCATACTGATTAGAATGCCTGGCTGGTAGATGATATTACACAAGTGAAAACCATGATTCCAAATCGGCACACTTACTTTCTGCAATTTCCACTGCTTCAGAAGGGAGAAAAGCCGGGGCATTGTCATTTATATCAGTCACCTGTATCTTGATGACACTTGTACCAGAAAGCCTGGGCATCCCTTTATCTGTGGCTTGCACAATCAAGCTGGTTTGGAAAAGAATCAAGAAATGTAATCCATTATCCAGAGAACTAGAAAAACAACATAACTATCAAATATCCCATCGAAAACTTAAAAAATGAGCTGACTAGCTACTTTTATTTTCCCCCTAGCTTTTTCTAAACGGCCTCATTTAAAAATTTATTTCATCAGAATGGTAGCCTGGGGGTGCCTGGGTGGCTCAGTCAGTTAAGCGGCTGCCTTCGGCTCAGGTCATGATCCCAGGGTCCTGGGATGGAGCCCCGTGTTGAACTCCCTGCTCAACAGGGAGTCTGCTTCTCCCTCTGCTCCTCACCCCTGGCTTGTGTGTGCACTCTCTCTCTCAAATAAATAAATAAAATCTTAAAAAAAAAAAAAAAAAGAATGGTAGCCTGGAATTTATTTATTTTTGACTGGTTTAGAGCATCAAATCCAGCAAGCGACCAGGGATCACGTGGCATTTACAAATGAGCCTCTTCTGGAGACAGACTGTAGAATTCAGTCCTTTCCTACCAAGGACAACCTAAAAAGTACAAACACCAATACATGTTCTTTGGGTAAGTAGACACCCTCCACCCTACCATGCATGGCCTGGATATTACTACATATTTCCATTTTACTGTACCACAAAGATAGAGCCACTAAGAGATTGCTTTGTACTGATATTTTTTTAAATCCAGATTCAAAATCAATAGCAACTGTAGAATTAAGAGAGGATGCTGCATGATTAATACAGGTACAAAAATGCATGATTGGCTAGAACTACAGAGTAGGGGGGAAAGTCTATGATCCGAAAGAATTTATGTGCAGTGATTTCATCTCTCTTAGATGATGGTACAACTATCTCCAGCAACTAAATTCAAAACCTTCTTAGTGCCTTCAACTTCTCCATTTCTGTCACCAATCTTCCAAAACCCAACTCATTGTGAGTCTTACAGATTTTACCTTCTCAATATCACTTGGATCAGTGTTCCCAACCGTTTCAGTCCTGCCTTCAGAGCTTCAGGTAGGCTGACCAGCCTTCTTGCTTTGCCCGGGACTGAAGGGTTTCCTGGGACATGGGACTTGCAGGTTTTTGTTTTTGTTTTTTTAAAAAAAACCAGGACAGTCCCCGGCAAACCAGGACAAGTTGGTCTCTGTAGCCTCATCCCCTCATCATCTTGACCTGGAATGTTCCATCTTCATTATAGCCTTTCCCATCTGGAGTACTTGTTTGTCCACCAATCTCCCTACTGCAAGTCTCATCTGCCCCTGTCGATCCCCCACACTGCCACTCAACTGCTCCATCCAACATCCTGAATTGAAAACCTGACTTCCCTATTGAAAACTTTTCCTTGGCTCTTCATGTCTACAAGAGGTAGTCCAGGCCTTGAGCACATACACATGACCTCCAGTGTCTTGGCTTCTGCCTGGAATGACCGTCCCTATACTACCCTCTTGATCTTCCAAAGCTCACATCTCTGGGAAGCTCTCCCTGACTTCCGGTCTGATTCAGATGCCCCTTTCTCAATCCCACAGCACCCTGTACATTCTTCTGACACAGCAGTCATCACCCTTTGTTCTTACTGACTGATTATCTGCCTCTCCTGTTTATTGAGAGCAGGTGAGCTCTGTATCTTACTTGATTTTTAAAAAAATGTATGTTGAGGGCTGGTTTCTCAAGATTTGTCTAAGATTATGAATGTACTGTATGACAGAGCCAGGATTCAAGCCCAAGTGTTGGCTAACTGGAAAGCCTGTGTCTACTGTCTGAGCTCCACTATATATTTTCAACAAGGATATGTATTACTGTGCATCTATCATGCCCTAATGTATAACCATTAGCTTTTCGCTCTGCTCTAAACACTATGAATTCCAGGAGGGTAGTTGAGGAATGATGCAGGTTGCCCATCGGAAGATAATCTTTACCTCAAAGCTGGTGTTAGTCTTAGCATGTGGTTGATACTACCCTTTAAGAGACTGAGTCTTGGAAGTTGACACATTTCCACTTTCTTTTTCCTTAGCTTACCTGATGAGTGGTCTATCTTCCCAATCTTACATTTTAAAATGATGTAAAATAAGCATCAACTCTTTCTTGGCTTAAATCCCACTTTATAGCAAATAATCCCTGTCTATCTACTGTTCGTGGAGCACACAGGCTGCCTGCTATGCTATCAGCGCTGGGACATCAGTAAAACAACTACTTGAATTTCACGCTTCTGGAGCTTAAGAATCATTCCATGTGGAAAGTTTGTTTTGTTAGCATGAACATAAGTCAGGTACATAGGGAAATATTTTACTACAAACAAACAAATCATAATGTTCTCTGCCTCTGTGGCCTGCCCTTCCCCAGTGTCACACTAAAAGCTCAGTCAAGACATCAAATTTATGGCTCTGTCAATTCTTCGGCTATAGCTGCAACCGCCCTGATTTTTACAACATTACAGTGTCAGGGGTTCCATATAATGTCTAAGTCAACTTAAAAAACATGAGAATCTTTGATACGGAGTAAAATGTACAACTCAGTTTCAAAATAAAAAGACGAGTAAACAGTTCCTCAATAGCTTGAAGAACAGATGGAAAATTATGAAGGCAGATCCACCAAGATTCTACACATAACTTCTGCGAGACCTCAAGTTTTCTATGATGGCTCCTTGGCAGTCTTTGTAAAACTATTGGTTGTAACCAGTCCAACTGGCTCCAGGTTTCAGAACGGCTGCCCTGATTATTACATCAGCAGAGATTATAAATGAAACTGACCAGATTTAGAACCGGTCCGTTCTAACACAGAGCATATTTCTCCTATTCTACCAACCACAGGAAGCTTCTTTTATCACCTTAAACTTTAGATGGGACCTTGACCAGGCAGTATCCTTTCTGATTGCTTTAACAAATACTGAAGGTGGAAGGGAATTTTTCAAAACTCCCTCTCCACGGTATCTTAAATGTCTACCCAGAATTCCATGTTCTTTCTGAAATTCTAAGTAAAACAAACGTATCAGCCAACATCAGAAACACCGATGAAGAGAAGAGCTATGACTTCTGGTTTTAACTACACAAGTTTTATCTCTTCTTCCTCCTGAGATTCTATGATAATGATAGCAAAAGAATTTAAAATAAGGTATATGTCCATAAGGCTAACAGTAAAGCGGGGAAGATTTTGGTGGGTAGAGGTGGTGAGAAGTTCCAACAAATTTCTGGAAAATGCAAGCAGATTTGGGAGTAGCTACAGATAAGTGGTTAACAGGAAACCACAGATTGAAATATATCTGGAGGGAGATAAGGATGAGTGGGGAACAGATTTGCCCCCACATAACCAATGACAGACACAAGACACGACAAGGGGTGGCGTGAGATATTGAGCTGAAAATAGCTTGATGATTATTTTAAACTCAAAACACAGAATAATCAAGTCCCCTTGCCCATTGCTCTTCACTCCCAGGCAAAAGAATGTCTGATTTTCATCTTCAGAGTAAATAATATTGAGGGTCTGCCCCTGGAGAAATGTTGTCATTTGTATGTCATCCTGCAAAGTAGTCAACTTCCTCTCTGGTTCATCTGAAAGCGAAGTGTGCTGGTTGCTAAGCTCTGCCAGTCCACTCAGAGATTCTGAGGACTTTGCTCTTGCCTCACTCAGAAGCGAGGATCGTTAGTTACTTTCAGAAAGTCTCCAACATGAAAAAGAGTGTAGAACAGATGAGGAGAAGAAATAAACCTGAAAGAAACAGAGATCTTGAAAAAACAGTTCTAATTAATGTCTTTGGAGAGCTATCAGAAGGCAATGCAGGCATGAAACAAGAACAAGATGCTATGGAAAAGCAGAAAGATCAAGAAAGAGCTTGTGGAAATAAGAAATATGTATATAAAATCTCCTTAAACTCCTTAAAATAAGGAACACTTCTAGTGGATTCTAATCCAAACACATTGTGAAACCCTTTTCTTTTATGGAGTCCAACCTCTCCCTGTGGTTTCCATGACCATCTTTTCCAGGTTCTGCTCCTTTTCTTCCCTGAATCTATTCTGCTGGCTTCTATTTGTCTGCCTGATCCTCAAGTAGTGATAATCCCCCAAATTCTCATCTTGCGGACTTTCCCTAGGTAATTCCATTTTACATATTTTCCCTGGATGAATCTGAAATCTAAATCTTGGATGAAGACCTCTTTCCCAGGCTCCAGATCAGTATTTTAATCGCCTAAGGAATGTCTGAACTTTTGTTCTTGCACTAGCCCTTGAAACTCAAAATGCCCAGAAAAAGATCCCAATCCCAATCCCCATTCCAACCCCAATTCCAATTCCTGCTTTTCCTATGAAGAAATTTCAGAATCACTTTCTATCTCTTTCCTTGTTGAAGAAATTCAACTGTTGACCATGTTCCTATGGATTCCATACCTGAATCAATTAGTAAGTATGTTCCCTCCTACCATCCCCACTGCTTTATCCTCATTAGCAGATCTTTCACAGCCATTGTCTAGCTTAACTAATCTGTCTGATGCTGGTCCTCCTCTGTCTTGCAATGTATCTGTTACCAGATGTCTTTTAAAAATAAAGATCTGACCATGCACTGACTTGCTTAGACTTTTATATGCCCTACTGAATCAAGCACAATTTCCATTATATGGGATATGAAGTCCCTCAAAACTTGCCTGAGATCTACCAGCCTCTTTTTTTTTTTTATTTTGTTTTGTTTTTCAGATCATCGTAAGTTTGTTTCTAATTTTACTAAGGTATAATTGACGTACACCACTGTGTAAATTTAAGGTGTATAACATAATGATTTGATATCCATCATTTCATACAGATACAAAAAAAGAGAAATGATTTTTTTCTTGTGATGAAATCTCTTGAAACTACTCTTTTTAAAAGATTTTATTTCTTTATTTGAGGAAGAGAGAGAGAGCATGAGCAGGGAGGGCAGAGGGAGAGGGAGAAGCAGGCTTCTCACTGAGCAGGGAGCCAGATGCGGGGCTCGATCCCAGGACCCTGGGATCATGACCTGAGCCGAAGGCAGATGCCTAACTGACTGAGCCACCCAGGCACCCCTTAAAACTTCTCTCTTATCAACTCTCAACTATACCACACAGCAGTGTTAACCATGTCATCATGTTGTAGATCACATCCCCAGTATTTATCTTGTAACTGAAACTTTGTACTTCTGGCCACATTCCTCCTATTCCTTCACATCCCAACCTCTTTTTCATTACCCCACACGCAGGTGCTTCTCAGGTGCACTGGACCACTTGTTACTTCCAAACATACCTTATAAACACTTGTGCATATCCATGACTTTCCTGCTTTTGGCCTGAAAGTCTTTTATTCTTTTCATGGAGAGTCAACAGAATGGGGTTGCAATCCCAGCTCTGCTATTTATGAGTCACGTATTTTGGAAAAGATAATGAACATCTCAGCCAACTTCCTACCTTGTAAACAATACTTGTTTCTCAGTATTTCTCTCACGGTCATAATGAGCTCTCAGTGGAGAGTATGAGTTTAGCGTTGCTCTTGGCAGTAACTGCTCTTCGAACTTGAATATTTATGCTACAGAAATTGAATATTTAAACCTTTAAATTAATTCTTATTTACCTTAAGTTTTTCTTCCCTGTTTCATGTTTCGTAAAGACAGGTATGCACTTTGCAGATGCATTCGCATGATACAATAGAAAGCCCTACTAGGACCTCTCACGTGGGCAAGAATCCCATCAGTTCTACCATTTACTAGCTGTGTATTCTTGGCAAACAACTGTATTCTCTGAACTTTAATTTCCTCTTTCTGTAAATCTTAATCTGTTATGAGAATTCGACATATAAAGCAGCTCTATAAATGGCAACTATTGTGATTATTAATATGCCGCCTGCCATGGGTTATAATGGCGCTTGATTTTTGAGTTCCCTAAAAACAAGAACACTTGCATGTGTCTTTACATCCCCAGCCTCACGCTTAGTAAATAGTTTTTACAATTCAGAAATGCCAGTCAGATAGAACTTAAGGTCTATTTTAGAGTTGGTCATCACCTCTCCACTGAGTTTTCTTACATGTGGCCTTAAAATGAGGCCTAAAGATTACTTAATTTTTATTTATAGTATATTGACTATAATCAGAACTGAGAATATCTTTTCCTCCCTCATTTTATATTGTAAAACAGAGGGTTATAATTGGGAATATTTTCTTCAATTGGACAAAATAGCAACTTCAAAAGTAAAGTTAAAAGCGGAACAATACCATTTCCAAAGCATCCACTAAGGATGTAGCAGGCTAGGGGACAAGCATCCTGAATTTCCCGCTCCTTGAAATATCAGGGAAAGCCCTAAAGAAGAAGAGAAGCCACAAGGGAGAGGAGGAAGGGGAGAACCTGAATAGGCGGGAGGTTTAAAATATTTCCTCGCCTTGGTGATAGTGGAGACTGTGAGTGTGTGTGTGTGTGTGTGTGTGTGTGTGTGTGTGTGTATGTGTGTGGTTGTCTCTGTCTCTCTCTGTGGCAGTGTGTGTTTAGTTAAAATTCTCTCCACTCCTGCTTTTCTTCTTCATGGGGAATTGGAGAGGGGCACTTTTCAATATTGGGACCAATTTAGATGTTCGGAACATTGAAACAATGACGCAAATAGGAAAAATCTTAAAGGAGTCTGGTTTAATTACTAATTAGGCTCCATTGAGTAAGAACAGTAGGACAGAAACTCATTACAACCCGGAAGTGCTTAGTTCCTGGAACACAGCAGACCTTCGATAATCTCTGAATTTGTAATCACTCAGGTGCCACTAGGCTGAGACCGACCTGTAGTCATCTACAGAGAGAGAAAAATGGCTTTATGCTTAAGATGGCTGTAGAAACCATGTAGCCGCAATGGGTTTTAACATATTTAGACAGCCGGTTTTAATATGTTTATACAATAAGCATCATAACAATTAATTACATTAAAATATTACTGAAAAAAAATCCTACTCGTTAATACAGGGTAAGGTCTTAAACTTTTAAAATGCTCTTGAAGTAATATTTTGAAATATATTAAACAAAAAAGAATGAAACAATCAACATTTTAGAGCCGGAAAGATTTTCAGAGGTCAATTAATCCAGTCCAGTTAATTAATAACAGATCCATTGTAATCGGCTCTTGCCGCTCAGCCACATGCATCTACTGCCCTTTCCTCATTAAACGTGAAAGCAGTCTGGCCTAAAAGAACACCGGCACGCAGGTCTCTCATCTGCCTGCTTCTTCCCCATGTAGAAGATGGGCTCTGTAGCTTGCACAGTGGAAACAGGGTGAGTCAACATCAGAATACTTGGGCCTGAGCCTCTGCTGGATCACTGACTGGCTCCGTGGCCCCACAAGCCACCGTGTGTTGGTTTCAGAGTGGATGAGAGAACACCTAACTCGGCTTCCTCGGGGGGTGACCAGAAGGATTAAAGGAACCACTGTATGTGCAAGGCCTTTTGGAAGAACATACGAAAATATGACACGAATATACTACAATGCATACTGAGAAAGCCAAGCCTCTGACCCCAGTTTCCCCCGTGACCACTTCTCCAGAGATAGACAAGGTTAAGTTTCTTAGGTTTTCTTCCTGAAGGTGTCCCGGTATATGGGTGTGCCCTGACTCCAATAGGCCTACAGAATAAACCTTTGTTATTTCCCCCACTCACCCATATAGCTAGGGCTCTCTCTTCAGTGGCACTCACAGAGAAACCACCTTCTCTTGTCAAAGGGTAGAATTCCATGGAAGGCTAGGCTACCGATGTTTGAGGCAATCTCCACTCCCGGACATTTTTGGTTCCTTAGAGTCTTTTCCTTTTTCTTTTATAGACCGTGATGCCATAAATATATCTGTATGTATAGCTAGACTTTTGTAGCCCTGACTTTTTAAAATAACCAGAAGACCTGCAACACTGCTATTCTCTCTTTTATAGAATTCTGCATAGTTCTGTACACCTTAAACTCTAGACAAAATATATTTCATGTTGAACGTGTACTTCATCAGATCATTTCTATTAGAACACAGTACTGCAACAAGGACCTGATGACAGGGTTGTACTTTCGTCCATGAAACTGAGTAAAGAATTAAAAAGAGAAGTGTCACTCAGTCTTCACTATTTTTAAAAACAAGAACCAAAAACAGCTGCAGAGTGCTCTATCAGTCAGTAGGCATTTCACAAATACTGTCATTTTTATTTATTTATTTTAAAGATTTTATTTATTTTTTTGAC